AAGTGGACGGAAGCCGCGAAGGTAGAGGGGGGAGTACCCTGGCATGCGGCGGTGCTGCAGAGAGCTGAGAGGTTCATGACCTCCTGACACGAGAAAGAAGAAGAGGCCAGCCGACAACGGGCGCTCAAACGAAACCACAAGCCACCAACCAAGGGGGCGGGAGGGGGGCAGGAGACGGACGAGACGGCGAGGGAAGAAAGCAAACGAGAAGAGACGGACCGAGTGGCGCGATACGTGCCGGATTGAATTTCTTTTAGCCAATTCCCCCCCCCCCAACGCTGCACCATTGCACCAACCCCCCACTAGTGATGACGTACCATTACAATGTATCGCTGGTTGGTGGCCATGTTTGCGTGTTTGCTTGCCGTTAGTGGTCTCTCCACTGTGTGCCTTTTTCTGTCTCTTATTTCTTGTTATTTTCGGCCTGGTCCCTTTTTGTTCTCGCTCTGTTTATTTCATTTTCTCTTTCCTTACTATTTCCTTTTATTTTCTTCTTTTTTGCTCTTTTTCTCTATTTTTCTGTGCCAGATGGCCTTGTCTCTGCTTGCGTTGTGAAGTACCAAGATTGAACCAAGGGGGTGTGCCTCATTCTCGCCGGCCCGTGATGGTGACCCCTAGTCTCAGTTGTTACCCCGCATAGCGCGCAGAGGGAGTGGAGGACTCCAGAGTATGTGTCGTCGATTTCTGTTGACTTGCGGACCCCTCGGGGCCATTTTATTTGAGTGTACCNGTTTATTTCATTTTCTCTTTCCTTACTATTTCCTTTTATTTTCTTCTTTTTTGCTCTTTTTCTCTATTTTTCTGTGCCAGATGGCCTTGTCTCTGCTTGCGTTGTGAAGTACCAAGATTGAACCAAGGGGGTGTGCCTCATTCTCGCCGGCCCGTGATGGTGACCCCTAGTCTCAGTTGTTACCCCGCATAGCGCGCAGAGGGAGTGGAGGACTCCAGAGTATGTGTCGTCGATTTCTGTTGACTTGCGGACCCCTCGGGGCCATTTTATTTGAGTGTACCTTTTTTAGGGTATGTTAGCCTGCGACCACGGGAATCGACCCCGTCGAGTGTTGGATCAGTACGGACATACGAAGGTACTGGGTAGGGAGAGATCGGAACGGTTTTTAATGTGAAGACAACAACAACAACAACAACAACAACAACAACAACGTTCTTCTTTCTTCCTCGCCGGCATCAACGGCAACAACAACGGCTGTCATTTCGCACACACACATCCGCCCCCCAGCCGACCCCCACCATCTCCCACCACGCCCACCACCAACAATCAACGAACGCTGCTATCTAACTCTAGAATCCTCGACAACTTCACCAACAACATCGAAGACGCAAACAAGGCAATCAGCAACATGGGCGAGGAGGGTGTCGCGGCGAAGGCGCAGGCAGCGCTTGGCGGCGGCAAGAAGGGGGGCAAGACGGGAGGAGGCGGGAACCCTCTCGCTGGCGTGGTGAGTCCCTCGCGTAATCCGCAGCTAGCTGCCGAAGCACACGTGATTGTCTCTGGGCTGCCGTGTCAGTTGGCGCTGACTTGTTGTATACACCAAGACAGGAGGACTGCGGGGAAAGATACTGCGGCGTACACCGCTATCATCATGTGCCACATCATGTGCCACAGCAGTGTGGATTCGACAAGTTCAATGATGATCGATTGCGATCCTTGCGCTAGATCAAGGAGGACGTGGGCTCGGATCCCTCGCTCAAAGCCCCTGTCCTGTATTTCTTCCAGTGTGATGTCATCGCGGAGCTGGGGTGCAGACTACTTCAGAGATGAGGCCGGGCGAGGCGACCGTACGGTTTTGAATGTCGAGTGTGCAGTCTACAACGGTCAAATGTTCTCGAATTCTTTCTTTTTCCAGTGAGTGGCCGACGCCCTCCCTCTACACACCGCATCTCGTTTCACGTCGAAAACCAAACAGACACTGTCACCGTGACCTCCCTATCCACCCACCTTCTCGTAGGTTACTGCGTTGTTCAACACGCTTGCATTGTTGTAAAAGTCGACCGCGTGTTGTATTGCTGCTGCAGGAAATTCGAAAGAATGATAGGAAGAACGACTCCCTGCGCGGCTCCCCTCGACGGCATACTACTTGTAATACCGTCAGCAGGAGCGGCGGCTGCTGCTGCTGCGGCGGCAGCCCCGCATATGTTGTAGAAGTAATAAACTGATGTGTATCGCCGGGAGCAAGTGCTTAGGTAGCCGCGCTTCCGCCACTCCGTATGTTTCGCCGTTAAACAACAAACATGGTATTAATTCAAAGCTATTGGTGTAGTAGAAAGGCTCATTTTAACTTACTTGTGCTCAAGGTTCAAGCGGCAGGTCCGTTCACCCCCCCCCCTTTTGGACTCCAATAGCGCATGCCAAGGTTTGCGTGGTCGGTCAAATGATGACGCACCTCGCTGTTGGAGGCACTTTTCCGCGGAGCAAGTTGATCAAGCTCGCTCGTGATGCAATCCATTTCACCCGTCATTTTTTTGTTTGTTGGCTAGAAATATAGCCATCATGGGTGTGGGGGCGGGAAGGGCGGGTAATTTGTTTTTCGAGCAAGTTGATCAAGCTCGCTCGTGATGCAATCCATTTCACCCGTCATTTTTTTGTTTGTTGGCTAGAAATATAGCCATCATGGGTGTGGGGGCGGGAAGGGCGGGTAATTTGTTTTTCGAAACAACCAAACGGACTCACCTGTGTGTGTCTCTATTATTAGCATCGACCGCGCTAACCGGCTGACCAATGAGAAGACTTAAGTCGTAGTGTGGTTGAAACACAAAACACTTATATCTGCCATGAACTGGGACCCCGTGAGTGTGTGTGTTGTGTGTGGCAGGAACACACGCCTGCCTCAGTGTCGGCGTAACGACGGAAACCTGCTTTTCTGGGACAACCCTGCTGTTTCTTCCTTGCATCCCCTCCTCTCGTGTTTGCCTTCTAGCGGGCGGCATGCAGGACCTGGACAAGGCCAAGGCAACGATCGAGTGCCTCGGCGAGAAGGGCGTCGCCGAGGCCAAGGCCGCGCTCGACAAGGGTGACATCAAGGGCGCTGCCGAAAGCGTCATGGGCAACTCGGGAGGTGGTGCTGCTGCTGCTGGGAAGTGAACGCTGCCGCCCCCGCGCCATCAAAACCGTACAACAATCGGCCTGTAATTACTTGTGAAATAGTGTAGGTCCTGGTGTACAGTAGGAGGAGTCTTTCATGGTTCGCACTAGAATTTTATGCGGTGTGTACAAAGGATACACACACACACTGCCAAGTTGGGACTGTCGACGATGTTGGGAGATTTGAAACGGGTGCAAATAATATGGTGGTGTCCGTTTTTGAACAAACGATCGATCGAGCGTCGCGCATGTATGTACGCATACGTGCGGACTGAACAAGCGGTGGCCCATTAAAATGCCGTTTGTCGAAACATGTCCAGCCTGGAAGTGGTTAGGTTTACTCGGAAGTCGTGGGAAAGAGGCTTTGACGTTGCGCATGCCCGACGAAAGGCGGGAGTACACATGTAGTATTGATCTTTTACGGTCGATCATGCCTCTGGCTGTAGGCTACGTAAGGGCAACATAAATACGCTGCCGGGATGAAGACAATGGAGGTTGACTTGGAAATAGTGCGTGGACGGGTGGAGGGATCTATTCGATATTCGATCAAATTAGACCATCTGACGCGTCAGCGCCAGCTGGTCAGATGGTCTAATTTTATCGAATATCGAATAAAATGTATGCGCTCAGCTCGCTAGCACCCGGCTGGATCACTCGAGTTCTACGGCTTTTAATCACTGGGATTGAAAGTGGGGATCTCCAGGGTCGGACCCCTCGCCAGGCGTCGCTGTTTTGCAATGCAAAGACAAGTGATCCAGCCGGTATTCGAACTCGTGACGATGTCCTCGATTTTCTCCTCGCTTCTGAGCTTAAGTTGAACCTGGATGGTTCGGTGCTTTCAGAATTAGCAGCGGTTCGTCTTTTTATCACCAAGGTTAGTTCTTGTTGTGGGCAGCTTGCAGAACTGGGTAACGACAGAGGGCGACACGTTTTTGATTTTCTTCGCCCGTTCTTCCCGACGAGAACGAACGCAGTTCGTTTGGGTGTACCGTAAGTCTTGCAGTCGAAACGCCTTCAAAGGCGGGGATGTGGATGACCATTCATTGCTGACGAAAATTGGAAAATATCAAGCGGTGACAAAGCACATCGTGGCCGAAAGGTGTGGCACGATGATGATGACGCCGTTTCATCATCTCTGCCCTTCCCCGTTTTGTTGGCGGCGTGAGGATGTTTCGTTCATCGCCCCGCCAACATTATTGCAGCGGGAGTGATGAAGAAAGATCATCATGAGCTGAACGGTATCGCCAAGCCTCTTGTCCGCGTTCTTTCTCTGACGGCGCTGGCTTGAAATACTCCCGTGCTTGCGCGGACGGCAAAAAAAGTACCACACTCACTGTTGTCCTGAGCACGTCGTCGCTCGCATGTTGTGCCTATTATGCGGCTATATCAACGATGCTCCAAGAAGCACGTAATTACTATGGTCCAAGTGAACCGTCCGAGCCGTGTCTTGTCTCTGACCCTCTGCGTCGCGCATTGAGTGCCACCGGTGGTTCTCCTGCAGTTACTTTTTCGACCAATATTTCCGCGTCTCGACCAACGGTTGGCTCTTCCTTGCCTGTCGGATGCGAGGTTTAGTTCCTGCCCTCCCAACCCGACCCTTTCGTTCCAAGCTGTTGATAGTGACCCTCGCCACCCCATCGGAGGAAATATTATCGCCGTTCATTCCCTCCCGTGAACTGCTCCCCGTCACAACAGCCACTCCGTCCACCAACGAAAAAACTCTCGCGGTGGTGCTCTCTCGCTCCCCCCTCTCGTTTTCTCGGATGGTTGGTGTCGACGCCATCGAATTTTTTTCGCACCAGCAAAGAAAGGAGCAGAAAATCAAAACAAACGTCTTGTACAGGGTCGTGGTATGCAACATGTGTGTGTGTGTAGAAGACCACGACGGAGACCAAAACAACAGCAACAACAATGGAGTTCATCATCAGAGCACAACAGGTTGTGGGTGGTTTAAATAGGTTGTGAATTTTCTAAACGTTGACCAGAAGACCATGACATCCCCGCTGTTGGCGCCGCCACCCCGTCACCGCATCGATCGCCTTTCACGATCAAATCTTCACACGCGTCCTGCACCGCCATATCAACACGGCGCTGCCAGCCAGCTAGAAGTGATCCCATATCAAGCACCACATCCGTCTTATGCACCACGCACATCGATTCCTTCAGAATAAGTCACAGTTCCTTCCTCTACTCCACTCCCAAAAGCAAATCCCCCTCCTGACCGACCCAATATTTGATCTATCTCCGCGTCACAGCTTTGTCAGCTCCAAGTGGAGGCTGATACATACGTACCGCGCAAAAACATACTGGCAGTCAACGAGCCCAACAATAATCCGCCAACTGCACCTTGCCGGAGGAGCCCCGGTGTGCAGTCTGCAATATCGTTTTAACAAAATTTGAACGATTGGCCATCGGTGGTCGGTCCTGTGGGAACAATGAATGCTCCGTCCTCTCGAGGACGCGTGGTCAATGGTCTAACCGCTAAGGCATGCAAAGCATAAGAGTACGCCCCCCCCCTCCCCCCATCTCCCCCGCCCCCCCTGCTCCGCCAAAATAGACACACGCGTACCCCCCTAGCCCCCGCCTATTAACATGCATGCCTTGAACATCCATCAGCAAAACGCTGAACACCCTTATTTCTTTCATCTCCACATCCACTCGTCTTTCGCGCAAAAAAAAAAAAAAGAGAAAGAGAGAAAACACAACACTCGTTTCAAGAAAACGTTAAACCGGAAAAAAAAATGGTCACCACACCAACCACCACACAACAACACCCCCTTCCTCCCTTGGCCTCTTGACGACGACAAGAAATTAACGGAGAAGAAGGCTACTCCGTGACTGCTGTTACGTACATCCTAACACTTGGGGCACAAATATGTATAAACGACTTGTTACCCTCTCCACACACCCCCAACCCTCGACGTAACTTTCTGTGAGGACAACACGAGATGTTTGACGACAAAACTGCTGCCTGCTGCCACTTTTTTCCATCGTACTGTGTGCTGTCTAGGTCAACCTTCTTCTTGACTACCAGGTGAGCAATCTCGAGACGACCACTCAACCACAGGCCCCCTCCCTCTCCCCTCCTCCCTATCGTGCGAACCGCCTGCCCTACTCCTCCACCCAGGATGATAACGCATCGACGCACGCACCCGTGTAAATAGCCCACTTACGCAAAAGGAATGGAATGGCTACCTATGCGCCATTTTTCGTTGTCCACATCTTGATCAACCTCGCCACAGTCCAGACGGCGAGCAACCCGTTGCGAGCACCGTTATTAGAAGCATGAGCGCCCACTCACGAGCGCCCTGGGTGCTGCTGCCAACACGCGTTCGAAGGTACCTGGCCGCCTTTCCAAGGTTCAACAGACTGAGCTGCTTCAAACACGTTCCAAGGTTCAACGGGACTGACTGCTGCTTACCACTTCGAGTGCTGCTTTAAAATAACGGGCTGACTGAGTGCTGCAACACGCTTCCGATCTCACACATTCAAGGTTAAACAGACTCTTGAGCGAGGTTTCCTGTCAAGGTTCGAGCCCACGCTTTTTCCCGCCAAGAAGCAAAGGTGCTTGACAGACCCCCTAGATTCCGGCGGACGCACTTTCCGCATGTACAAGCAACAAGGCCGTCACGGGGACGGATGAGATAGATCGCTCTCCACAACGTTGCGTGTTTCCTGTAGTTGAACTATTGCTATGTAAGCGAACCTGCAACTCCACGTGGGCAATTTCCCGAGAAACTAGATGAAAGACTGGCGCAGCTCAAGACACGCTTGTTTTTCGCCGGAAAGTGGCCGGCACCCAGAAAACACTCGAGAAAAGAAACAGCAAACTGCACAAAAAGCTAGAAGCAAATACATTTGCCCCATTTTCTAGAGAAAGAGAGGGGGGTGAATGGCCGCCTGTACTCCATTTCCGAGAGTCTCTCGTGACGCCTGCCCCCATATCATGTTGGAAGTCAACACGTGACACAGGGGGGAACGCAGAGCGAGGTACAGGGGGTACTCGTTGGGAATATATTTTTCGTATTTAGTTCCAAAACACGACAGGAGAGACGTTGAGAGGGAGGGATGTAAACGAGCGGGCGCACGGTTAGCCAAAGCCACCCGTTCTCATTAAGTTCGAGTGTTGCACCTTGGTGAACACATGTGCGCAAAAACGGACATCTACGCTCGATGGGCACCAATAGACAGGCAGTGAGTTTAGAATAAGGCGGCTAGTACGTTTTACACCAAATTAAGACGAACAATTGCTTCGCTTCTGCAGGTCGTGCGGAAACTGGGGTGACCGCGGCTGGTGAGTGTACAAAACTTACCGTCTGAAAATCATCCAAGTTACGGTGAAAAAGTGCGAAATCCTCCTCGCTGTCTGTCTGTCTGTCTCTCCCTCTCTGTCGCTTTCGCTGTCTCTCCCTCTCTGTCGCTTTCTCTGTCTCTCTGTCTCTCTGTCATTCTCACCTGCCGGGTTGCGAGGAGATGCCGCACAGCGAACTCCAGTCCCGATGTCGGCACCGCCGCCGCTGCCGCTTGAGCAGTGCCCCCGCTACCGTTGCCGGTCTCATTGGACGAAGCCCCTCCGATCGAAGAAGCGGTGCGCGAACGCTGATTGGTGCTGCTGTTTCTATCCGGGTTACTGCGACGCGTCAGTGCGTCCGCCGCTGTAAAAAAATATATATATATATGAGCAGAAGAGACGGCCAGTTGGGAAACGCACGAAGCGTAAGCAACGGCGAAGCACTGGGTTCGCATCGCGTGGTCCATACCAGGTACTGTACCTCTTCACGTTCAGTGCCACACGGCACTGACGCGTTGGAGATATGTATTCCGGCGGCATGCAGCTGGGGGGGGCGGAGGGGGGCTGGTAATGCGGCACTAGACATGAAAGGAAATATAGGTAATCATTTGGGCGGGTAGATCATCTCTACGATCTGTGCGAGCAAGACCTTCACATCACCCACAACACACGTACAACAAGAACAACTATGATTTCGTTATTCTCACCTAAGACGGCGTCATTAACCTTGTCCGCGATTGCCTGATTCTGCAGGCCGGAGACAAGATAACCCAAAGGGCTGGCGGCGGGATCGCTGTACGCCAACAACCCCATCACCTTAACAACAACGTCGTGCAGAGCAGAATTAATAATAGCAGTATTTTTTGTGCGCAAAATAAAAATTCCGAGGGTTGGGGTGGGAATCACAAAAAGAACAAATGAGCAGCAGCAGCAGCAGCAGTAGCAGTTTCCGCAGTAGCAGCTGCACAGACGCTAATCAACGGACAATATTGTCGGCTGTACGAGAGATAAGACAGACATACAATACCAGCAGAACACAACAAACGGCCTTGCGATGGCCAAAAACGACGTCGACAACGACACAAAAGACACCGACAAGAGAACACCACCGACAACACAAAACGTAGCAATCTCTCTATCTCACCAGCAGACTCGTACGCGCACACCAAACGGTGGGGGGGACCACGACGCCGTACAAAAAATGTTTACAATACGCACGTGTGAGTTTCAGGGCCGACCTCATCCCGCCCCGCCGGCGGGGCAGCACTACTCTTGCACTTACCGCACTACTCTTGCACCTACCGCACTACACTGTACTTCAGTGCAAGGATAGCCCCAAAACAGAAGGCAACACGACACAACAAAAAACAAAAATTATCCAAATCGTCAGCTGAAACCGCCCGCTACCTCCCGCCCTCCCTGCCTCACCGCCAAAAGCTTAGAGTCGTACACGGACGGGGCGCCGCCGAATAACGTCGACGGGAATCCCCCCCTCCGGGCAAAATCTGCGGGCCCCCGATACCCTTCACCGAAGGCACCCCCCCTGTCCGGGCTGGCGCACGCCTGATTGCCCGAGTTGAATTCCTCCGGGTTGGCACGATCCTCCGAGGTCTTTACCGGGTCGTAGCTGCGACTTCTGCGCTTGCGGGTCCTGTTTGTTTGGTGTGTGTTTTTTTTCGGGGTTCCGTGGCATGTCGGGAACAAGAGGGGGGATGTCGGATACTACAAATTGCACGCACCATCACTTGAGAGAGAGAACCTCTTGTTTCGTCTCTTGTTATGGCCAACCCCGAAAACTTGATCTGTCAGCCCCAGGTTCTTAACTCCCAGGTTCTGAAGTGCTGGGTCATTCTGCATGGCGAATAACGAGATGAGTAGAACCTTTCACACCGCTAAGGACAACAACATTTCTAGCCAGAATAGCTCGTCACGCCAGATAACAATACTGCAGCGCCACATCCAACGTACCGAACAGAACCGTCAAATCAGACAAATAAATGCCAAAGCGACGTGCACAACAAGTAGCCAACGAAGAGAGCACTGCTGTCCGCGCCTGGGTGAATACGAACTATCGATCCCCTGAGCAAGACAGGTTTCTTCCTCTCCGCGTTTGTTACTTCTCGTACATATTATTCTCCGTGCTCCTTCCATTTTCCTCTCTTGCATTATCTCACGGACTCTTATCGCGTCACAATAATCGCACATACAAAAAAAATCCCCAAAAAACAAAACCGCAAACAACAACACACCTGCGCCCCGCAGCCGCCGCCGCCGCCGCCGCCTCTCCCCTCTCCTCCTCCGACTCGCCCCCCTCGTTGCCGTTGCCCCTACCGCTACCACCCGCCGCCGCCCTCGATCTCGCCCCCCCTCCGGGCCTCCTACCCCCCCCGCCGCGAGTCCCGGGGCTCCCTCGCCTCTGCGCGGCGCCTCGAGTGTTGACTCCCCCCGACCTCGCGGTTGCTGATGATGCCCCCCACCTTGTGCCGGCTCCTGCGGCCTGACCGAACCCGGCCGTCGTTGCTGATGCAGCCGGCGAAGAAGCACAAGAGTTTGTTGGTGCGCTGTTGCCGCCGTCGCCGCCGCCCGCCTCGTTGTTGTCGAGGTGGTGGCCGTTGCGGGACGGGGACCCGTTCGGGGAAGGGGCGGAGGAGCAAGAAGAGAAGGAGGAGGGCGAGTCGGAGCGGGTTCGAGGGGAGTCCCTGAACCTTGACAAATCCCGCTGCATGGGACAGACAGACAGAAAGAGAGAGAGAGAGAGAGAGAGAGAGAGAGAGAGAGAGAGAGAGAGAGAGGAGTACGAGAGGAGGCAGAGCAAGAGAGAGAGACAAGGGGAGAAGAAAGAGACTATACGAGTTGTCGGCCGAAATAGAAGGGTTAGAGCTATGTACGTTTTTTTCGGCAGTGATCGCTACGGACAGGATTGCATTGATACCTGTCGTCTCCCGCCAGTCCACTCTAACAACACCCGGCGCCATCGGTGCGACCTCTGTCTCTTGAAATCTCTGCTTTGTGTTGGTTGTTTGGGCGTCCTCGTGTGGCGTCGTTCTTNGTGAGAGGCGGAGGGGTGAGAGAGGGAGAGGGTGCGGGACGGGGCCACAAGTTCGAGACAGACTTGAGAGGGTCACGGGTGAGTCGAGAGAGGGAAGAACAGAGACGAGCAAGCAAAACAAAAAGAAGGAGACGAACCGAGGAAAATAACGAGGAAATAGAAAAATGACACATCGACAACAAGAACACAGCAAAAGGGAGAAAAAAGAGCCAACGCCACGAAAAAAGCAGCAATGCAAAAAAGAAAAAACGACAAGTATCCCCGTTCGGACACTATTTTCTCGTCGGTCGTGTCTTCCTTCATTCACCTGAGCCAACGACACCGCGGCAGTGACCTCCCCCTTTTTGACGAGCTCGATGAACTCCTGACACTTGAGAGCGAACCTAACGTCCGCTCGCTTCTCCAGCAGCCCCGGGCGCTTTCGAGGGGCGTAAATGATAAACAAGGAGATGGTGCGTTAGGGGGAACAGCTACCACTTTCGGCTGCCTTGTCCGCCGAATCAAGAATTTGACCGCGAGAGCTATGTCGCCCACCTCCTTCATGACGCATGACAGCATCCAAAAAAAGTGGCCGTTCCACCTTCAGGCTACTACTACCATATAGGTTTGCCAAAAAATCACACACACACACACACACACACACACACACACACACACACACACACACACAAGAAGAGGCTTCCTATCACAGCACGTGCTCCAATTTCTCCCATCCAGCTTCAATTTCTCCCCTCCTCACCTCCTTCTGCAGCATCGCCGTTGCGGCCCTTATGTTCCCGGACAGAATCTCTCGCCTCAGTCTCGTCCTGAAGGACAGCGTGGCTGCGAGGGCGACGGCTCGAGACTTGCCGCCGCGGCCCGCCGCCCTGCCGCCCCCCCCGTCCGCGAGGAGGTCCGTCACCGGCACCGGCATCACGGGCTCTCGGCGCGGGGGCTCCGGCGGCTGAATCCACGGGTTGATGACGTCTGGGACCGGCAGGCTGTCGTGCTGCATCATCTCTTGGATGTCGTGGTCTTCGTCCCCTTCCTCCTCCTCCTCCTCCTCCTCCTCCTCCTCCTCCTCGTCGTCGTCGTCTATGTTCTCGTCTTCTTCCGACATCATGAGGTCTTCTTCGTCTTCCTCCGCATCACTGTCTCCCTCCTCCTCTTCTTCCTCCTCCTCCTCCTCCTCCTCCTCCTCCTCGTCGTCGTCGTCGTCGAAAACTTCTTCGTGGTCTTCGCCCGCGCCCCCCCCATCCCTCCCGCCCAACACAAACACGGCGCCCCCCGCCTGCCCCCGGAGCAGCTCCAGGTTGCGGAGGAAGTCTCTCCTCGCGACCTCATCCACCGACCCCCCTATCCCCCCGGCGCCGCCGCCCCCACCCCCCCTGTTTTCGTGCTCCCCGCGTCGCCCCTGCTGCGCGCCCAGCAGTGACAGCTCCAGAGCTTGGCGCTCTTCTACCCCACCTGCTGCTCCACCTGCCTCTTGCCCTCTCACCTCCTCCACCTCCATCTCGTCTGCGGGGGGGGCCGACCCGCCCCCCCCCCTCCCAGCCACCGGCACCCACGATGTCGGCGCTGCCCACGCACCATCACTGCCTGGCTGCTGCTGCTGCTGCTGAGCCGATCGGAATACGCGACTACTGCTGCCGCCGTGGCCGGCACCACCGCGGCTACCGCCGACACCGGCGGCGGCGGCGGGACCGCTGCCGTTTGGGGGAGGAGGAGGAGACGGCGGGGAGCCGGCCGCCTTCCTCGCCGCGGGCGCGGCGGCGTTCCGAGCGGAAGAAGCGGAAGAAGAAAAAGAAGAAGCGCCGGCGGCAAGGGCCGGGAGCGAGGGCGGGGGAGGCTCGGCGGAGGCGGACGCGGCGGCGGCGGCGGCGGCATCCGATGCTTTCCGGGCATTGCTACCGGCGGTGGCGGCAGCGGTGACCTTAGCGGCGCCGCCCTTGTCGGCTTCGTCCAGGCTCTTCAGGGTCTTCTCGCAGCCCTGAGAAGTTGCAATCGGTTGATCCATCGATCACGTTGGTGGTGGTGGAATGATTTTCTTAGCCGAGCGGGCAAGTAGGGATCACGCCACGGTTGTGTACCAATTGCGACGGCGCACGAAAAGGAACAAAAAATAGAGCCTCGCAAGTGGCGCGGGCGGTCAGCGCTGTCACTTAACTGTACGTGACCCACGCAAACAAGCACTCAAGGGGATAGGGGATATCGTTCCCCCGTCCCCGCAAACGCAGAAGTCGCCTCGTGTCATTGGTCGGCCGCTGCTTTCAGAGCGGCCGATGCGACCGACAGAGGTACACAACACACCGACGAACGCCCCCCCTCACCCACCCCGCTGCAACAAACAAGTGCCAAGCAGACGGAGCCCAAACGGCGGTGCTGCATTCAAACAAATCCTTGGTACAACCTGCAAGGGCCCCGACTGCGGTTTCGCGGGCAAATCCACCCGGAAACTTTACACCCCCTCCCCCTCCGCCCCCCCCGGTGTTTGCCATCGGGGTTGGGTTTTCGTCGCTTGGCAACGACGTTGTAAAACAAGCCAATTCACTTCGTGAACTCGGCAACCAGGTTACCGTTTTTTTTTTTT